CATACAGGACCTATGTTTACGTCATGTTATTGGCTGTCGTTCCACGGCACCTTAGTTAATAATCATTTTGATCATTAATATGACCTTTTTGTTAATTTAGGAATAATTAGTTAATGGATTGGATTTTTTTCTTTCCTTTTTAACATTGAGTTGAATCATGAACTCTATATAGGAAATGGATGGAAGTTTTTTTTGGTTACAGGCTATTGTTGCGGCGTGAACACGTGGAAAACACAGCTGGTTTCACAGATAACATTTGTTTTTATAATGATTCAACGTAAAGCATATAAGAAATAGCCTATGTTTATCGTTTGAAACACGTACCCTATGGGCCTAGAGTAGTACTGCGTCTCTGCGTGGTTTGAGAAATGAGATCCAGAAGTAAGCACCATCCTTGATGTACAGCGTAAACTGTACATAAGAATGAAATAATCACAGCCTTTTATGATTGTGAGTTTCCAGACGACTTTGGAAAAGCTCCGTTGACTTACAGTATGTTCTAGAGCTTTCTTTTGCCACAATAACCTGCAGCATGAAGGCTCCATCCTTTTCTTTGTTGAGCTCTATGACATACAGTGTGCGGGTTTGGTTTGATGGATGAAAGGGAATGCATTTTATATATTAGCTGCAATTTTTCAAAGCTTTACCTGTGGTTGTTGTTGTTGTTGCGTCACACAGACTCACAGACCCTGACTTCAAACGAACAAATCATTTAAAGCAGTGATTTTCAAGTAAAAGAAAAAAACATGCTCACTTCTTTAGCAATCTCTTTTAAAGGTTTGGAAGGCAATATAAAAAAGACATCACATTAACATAATAAAATACATCTCCCAGTGGCTCCAGATGACGACGTCGCTCTGAGCATGTGATATGTAGTTTAAATAAGTCCGCTTCATCTTTGACTCAAAACGGCCCTCTGTCCTATTTCCACATATTTGTGTCCTCTTAACAGAAGCGCTCCAGCCTTTGTTCAGCTCCTGCAGTCAATTTTCAAGTTAAGTCTTTTTATTAAGTGCTTTTTTCATATTTTGTATAAGCAATAACTACAAAAGCCAAACCATTACCCAGAAGAAAAGAACCCGCAGCAAATTCAGAGAGGACGGTGGCCCAGATCCTTTGTTGTTATGTCTCGGTGTCTCCAGAGCTGGACGTTTGCCGATGACGCAAAAAATTCTGCTTTGGCAGAATCTGCTGTTTGCTGTCATCTAGGGTTTGTTGGTACGTCTTTCTTTGTTTGGTTATGCAGCAGGTCCATGATGAGTTCACAAGTACATCTGTCCATAAGTGATGGTGTGTGCAGGAGGGGCTTTGCACGAGTTGGTAAAAGGGTTTTTATTTGTGTGTGTGGGTGTGTGTGTCTCAGCTCTCAGAAGACATGGCTGAGATGATCTGCTCCACTTTATATGCCAACTTTTGCTTCCGGGCTTGTTCATCTTGCTCCAGTGCCTCGATGATCTAAATACACACAAACACGCACACACAGACACACACGCAGAGGCAGAGGGACATGGAGAAGACATTATTGATCAACCACACTAACCACAGACATGTATAGATTATAGATCAAACACAATGCTTCTGGTGCTTGTTGTCATGTGAATCTCTCTTCTCTTCTAGAGACATAAGATCTCTCAGCTGGAGATCTTATGTCTCCAAATCAGTTTGCAGAAAAGGGCAATAATTTAATAAAAATTAAATAAATCAGGCAAAAAAAAAAAAAAAAAAACCAACCCATCGACATACTGTTTTGTAACTGTTCACATGAATGACAAGCGGAAATCAGCATTTAAAATATTCATTAAATTTGATGTTTGTTGATGTTTTGGCCACCTGGGGGCAGTGCAAATAGTTGATATAATTACCCCATACTGTGAATGAATAACTTTATACTTTTGAGCTGCTAACCTAAAGCACTAGAATTAGCCAAACTGAAAACCTGACTTGTTTCTATTGTGAGCAGTCGTCTAATAAGATGAAGAATTAAGAACATTGACAGTAAAAAAATACAGAAAGCACTAGACTACCACTCTACAGCACATTCCCATGATGCAATGCTCCTGACTCACCTCTTGGCTGTACTTGCTGACGTAGGCGTAGATCTCGTGGAGGGCACTGAGCACATTGAACTCACTGGAGTGAAGACGGGCCTGTTCAGCCAGATATGCATTCATATCCTGATCACTGATGGCAGGCAGGCGGTTGATGTCGGCGTAGTATCTGGAAATATGTACACACACACACATAAACACACAATGTGTTAGTGACACGGTTGGTCTTCTGATATGGAAAAATATCAAATATCGTGTCAAGAAACTGGAGGTGGAGAAATGTTCACTGACACATCAGTTATTACAGTTGAGCAGTGGAAGAGACCAGTGTACATATAAGTACTGTTTGTTCACTACTGTTAACTTTACATACAAATAAGGAGACTTTCATTTGTCTGCAGTCATGTAAACTCAGTATTACTAATGGATATCTGATTGGATACTTGCAGTAAGTACTTCATCGTTCTCGTCTCAGGTGAACAAAATCACAGAGGACTGAAATACACGGACATTTGTAAAATACTGATGCTTCAATTTGAGACGTGCGAAAAAAATCTTAAAATATTACGAAGTAGAAAAACTTCCTAACTTTTTTAAATTTACTTGGTAATTTGGACTAAAGTTGAATTACAAATACAAGGTTAAAAAAGCATTCATTAATAACAATTAAAAATGTATTTGTCACAGTGTAAATAGGACATGACGGTCTGCTTTCACTGTTCACACTAAACAGACTATAGGTGTGAATGTAAGTGTGAACGGTTGTCTGAATATATATATGACCCTGTGGTGGATTTGTAAATTGTCGAGTCTGAAACCCTGCCCTAAAGCTATGACCCCCTTTTTTTTCTATAGGCAAACTCATGTACTAACTTTAATGGTATTCAAAGTAAGACAGATATTTGGATTAGTAACCAAGTGTACATATATATGTATATATGTATATATATATATATATATATATATATATCTATATATATGTCTACATGCAGTGTTTACATTTTGAATTACTGTTACAATTTATATTTTGGTTGATGTTTCCAAGTACAGTGAGTTCAGGCTGTATTATAGTTGTGAATACTTATCAGCCTTTAAATATATAACTGTGTGGGTGGAGTGATCTGTCTGTTGACAAGTTTCTGAGCTCTTCTTTTATTTATTCCACTCTGTTTTTTATTTTTTATTTTTTTAATGAATATTTGTAATATTTATGTCATCTTTAAATAATTAAATTAGTAAGTTTAGTAAATTGGTAAATAAATAAATTAGTTTAATTACAGATCAGGTGTTGTTTTTCTTAATCGCTGATGTAGAGTACAACAAAAGTATATTTAGAGCTAATGATTAAAGAAACATCAACAACAACGCTACGATCAAAAAGCTGCTAAGGTGTCGAAAAGCCTGGTGTCTTGTTTTCTCCACAATGTTTACTCTGTTTATTCAAATGAACTCATGTTGTACCACTCATGAACCACAGTCATTAAAAAACAAAATAGACGAATAAACTAACAAGTTCTTGGCTCTACAAACAAACACAGATCCACGTCTACACACCTTTCTACCCAGCTCTTGTAATGAGGTATATCCTTGGCATAGAGCAGTTTGGTGGAAGGTGAGTCTTTCCCCAGACGGTGCTCTGACGTGGAACAGGAGTCCATGAAGGTTTGGGCCACCACTGACAGACAGGCGTCGGTGATGCTGCTCTTGTGAATGTCAAACACAAACTGAGGATTCTTGATCACATTCACCCAAAATCGCAGCGGGAGGCTAACGAGAAAACAGAGAGAGATAGCACTGAATTAAAGGGGATGTGTTAATCAAATTTGACAGTCAGTGTTTTGGTCCAGAATCTGTTGTTTTAACAGCAGCTGTTTCTCTCCCACTGCTCAACTGTTGGCACTGGTTTCATGAAGCTAAGAGGTAGCTCTTAACAATTTAAAGTCAAACCAGCCAATCAGAACAGTTAAACAGGTGTGTAAAGAATCCAGTCATACAAAATCCTTAGTTTTTTTTAAATCAAAGCACATTTCATTTAGAAACGATTAATTTGTGGTGAAGTATAATTTATTCCAGTCAACTAAGAACAAGTACCAATCGTTTCCATCATACAGTTCACACTTCAAGGATACTGTTTCTTTTTATGTAGTAAAATATGTAAATGTTTAAAACTGAGGTCAGAGCAGTGACTGTTTTTGGTATTAAGGAGACCGGTGGAATTGGGTTTCTGCTGAGGTCCGTGCAGTCGCTCTATTTATCCTGTAACCTGGAAATCTGCCTCACCAGTTGCTCTTCCACGTGTGGCGAACATCCGTGTCATGGATGCCGTGTCTGTCAGCCTGCTCATCCAGAAAGTCAAACATGTATTTGATGGCCAGAGGCAGAGCGGTGCCGCGACACACTGTGCTGAACAGGGTCTCAAACAAGTCATCCACAAACTTCTGCAGTGTGCCCTGAAAGAAAATAAATAGAAAAAAAAAACACCTCAAGATGAGGCTCTCTGGTTCTCAGACAAAGAAAAGTATAATGTAGCACACACGTCAAGTATGGAATATTTTTTACCTTTGTTGCCAGCAGCCTGGTCAGGTAGATCTCTGACACCATTTTACTTCCTCGTTCCCCCTCTTTCTGGTCTCCGTGGTCGTGGTTCTTGACCAAGTGCCAAACCTTGACACCACTCTCCAGGTCAGGGGTCAACATGGGCACACGAGAGTGTGGACTGTCGGGGCTAGTAGGAGTCGAGCGTAAGGATACGTCCACACCTAGATGGCCAAAATTTAAATTTAAATGAAAAAACCTTTTGTAAATCTTACCATGTCCTGTTTTTCCTTCCCCCGTGTACTATAACACTTGATTTCCTTCAAAATCGTATCACTCAATGTTTAATTCCTCATGAATGTGTGATATGAACATGAAATTTTAGAGATACTAAAGAATAGTGTATTTGTTGCACAGCACTGACCGTATCTGCTGATACTGCGTGGGAAGCTGGCAGAAGAGGGGATGTAGAACGAGGACATCTGTTTGGGCACCAGAGCCACCACACAGCGCTCCGACACCTGGGAGACACACACAGGTAAGAGCTGCCTTTTATTTTGGGATATAACTCAGTGGGTTAAAACTTCATGGCTGAAAATCAACTTTTCTGGGAAAAGATAATGACTGGAAGTGTTGGCAAATGAAGATGAGTCACAAACTGAATCATCAATCATCATCAGCCAGATGGAAACAACAACCTCACACAAACAAAAGTATCAAGTGTTGTACTTGAATAAGTAAAAAACTTTACTCTGTGCTTAGATAAAGTTAGAATTAGATTAAGTTTGAATTAAGACTAAATCACTAGATTTTGTTATGGTTTGAAGAATTTCTCAGGACATTTTATGACTATCTGGCGTCTGTCAAGAGGCTGTTTCTCTTCTCTAATACCAACGCTGATTCTATGTTAAAATCTAACTAATTCAGTTACTTTCATAATTTATGGCTCAGTCTTATAGAACTGTTCACTGTAGAGACAGTCATCACTGACAAGGCCGTACATTGAAGCAGACACCAGGGCTAAGGTACAAATATCAATGTGTTGCTGTTTATTATTTCATTATAATAAAATAGATTATTTGTATGTTCTCCAAGTACCAGTGTGCACACATATATACATTTGTACACAAGTAGTACAGATAAAGTGTTTCTCATCAGTTGTGATGAGACCAGACCTGGTAGTGCATGAGTGTGTTGAGTCTCTTCCAGTCGCTCTCAATCTTGGTAGTGATGTCCTCGTCCTGCAGGACTACACGAGCCGTTCTGCCCTGTCGCCACTCTGTAGGAAAATGACATCAGTGGTGACTGTGTGACACTGAGCTCTGTGTGACCGTTTGTATGTCAAGAGTCTGACAGTTACATTTCCTGTCGACCGCGGCCAATCTCGAACAGTGCCGTTGTGCTGCAGGTGGGCTCCTCTGAACCGTTAGTCGTGTCAAAAGACGCAGCCAAAATGTCAAGACAACCTCCTGTGAATTTGTGCTTGACAATTAAAGTGATTCTTTGAACAACCCACGGATGAGGGTTTCTTCAAAGGAATAAAACCAGGTGCCCAAAGCTACAGACAAACTGATCCTCTCCAAATCCATAACCTTTCAGGGCCCTCAGGTATAAAACTTCAAACTCCATGCAGTATCTGCTGCTCTTCAGACAGTATGTTAGCTTCTTTTTTTTTTTCAAGGTGCATGTCAGCTGGATTTGTGCCCTGCCGCTCACTACTGGATGACACACTGTGGGCGTAAGCTGAAGTGTAGATGCAGTGTCAGTGAGGTTTAATGTCAGTCATGAAGTGTGTGTTTTGGCTGTAAACACACAGAGAGGACATTGTTTTCCACAAACTGAGGTCGAATCTCCCTGTCACACAGCTCTGTTGTAACTTCTGCGAGTGAAGATACCAGCTCCAAACTGAACTTACACTAACATTTGACTGTGTTCTGTTAAAGACACGGAGAACTGAACATGTGTTTTTGCAGAGTATGATTTTGTGACATGAGCTCTCACCTAGATCCATGTCTGCAGCTCGAGGTCTCTGCGAGTATGGCATGTTCTTGTACACCACATCCAAGATCTTCTCCTTCACCTGCGTTATGGTGTCACAGTTGAGCACCTTGACAGGGATTTCTGGGCTGTTCTCATTGTCTGGGTTCACACAGCTCAGCGTCTTGGTAGTGGTAGAGTGGGGGGGTCAGCAGAAGAGACGGAGAGAAAGAAGGCTGTTAGTTGCTGGAGAAGAAATCCATTCATTACCTCCTCCACACCAAACTGTCCTGCTGCAGACGAGCCTGTCCAGAAATGCAATTTCACATCCCGGGGATGCGGCAGTGCAGCGGTGGCAGGTGCACTGGGGTATTTAAGAAGTAATGAGACACAGGCCCTCAGACTCTCAGACTTTGTGATCAGAAAGGTGTCATCCCGCCGATGACAGTCTCTGCTCTGGAGCCGAAATCTCAGGAGGAAGTTATTCCTGTGCATCCCCAGGAGACTCCTTTATGTTCCTGTTACTGTTAGCCTTACCGTTTCCTCGTTGTCAAGACTAATTGAGTTACATTTAGGGTGAAATTATTTTAGATTTAATTTAGTTGTTCTAGAATGAGCCGTTTTTTACATTGGAAGAATTGTTGGTGCAACGTTAGATCACCAAGACCTAAGAAATATGTTCTCTTTACATATTGACTGGTGGCCATATGTTGTTCTAGATGCTGTTCAACACTAGATGGTAAACCCAACACACTGGGCCTTTAAAGGTCAAAGGTCACAATAAGTGTATTGGTGCAAATTATTTATCCATCCGTCCATCCGTCCTTTGATGGTGCAGTCTTAGTGAAACAGCTTGTTGGTCCTCTCATACAGTTCTATACAGTGTGTTGAATGTCCTTTTCCACAAACAAGCACAATGTAATAATGTGACATGCTTAATTGACCATAAACGTGAATGTGTGGGTGTGAATGGTTGTTTGATTACATGTGGTCCTGGCCTCATGACTGCTGCCAACCTAAAAAGGATGACTCAGCGGATGATGAATGAACTGTACGACCCTCAGAGGTGTGGTGTTTACATGACTATATTTGTTTCCCTAAATACTCTGAACTCACTACAACCTGCCATAAGGTGAAACCTTGACTGGTAGTTAAAGACCTACAGAAAAGACTTGTAGAAAAAGGAGAGGATACTTTATCTGTCACAACATTTTTGTTTCATGCATTGAACCCATCTGCAAAAGTCTTTCAGTGCTCGCTGCACACACAGAGACCTGCCACGACTGGCAATCCTTCAACCACAGACTTAATCCTGCAACCACTTGGCCCAAATGTGTAGTGAACTAAATGACCACTTTTTACAACTCACCAGCATCTTGTACTCTATCTGCTGCCGTATGAGCTTGTCCTCGCTCAGGGAATAACGTGCTTCTCCAGTAATGGCATCTATTGGTCCCTTTTCCATTTGCTGTTTAATGGCACAGAAGAGCATGAAGAGTGGCTCGCCAGCACACTCCTACGGTTGGAATGGACGGCAGGTATTAGAGTGAAAGGTGGGAGAGGAGGACAGGAAGAGGGAAGGAAGATCTGTATTAATCAAGCCAGATGACAGGTCTCAGGAAACAGGCTGTGACACATCAGTCTCAATAAAATGGAGCTGGCTCTTCTTTTTCAAATCCCCAAACCTGATAAATATGTGACCCCACAGACGGCATTTTTCTTTCCAAACGTCTAGACAACATGTCAATATTAGAAAGTTACGATCGCACCCGGAAACAAAAACATTCGCAGCAGTCAATTCTAAAATCTGCACTATCCATTTTAGCCACAGTCATTATATTTCATGCTGACACTTGTGGAGATAAGGTGTGAGGGAGTCTGCGTTTTACCTTGAGAAATTTGTGGAGCAGGAAGGCAAACCAATTTGTCAGCATCTTCTCTGCTACAGACTCTGTCCTGCAAGACAAAAGGCAGGGACACAGCCATTTGTTAGCACGTGTTCCATGGCGCGCTGGACCGCTCTGATTATTCTTTTATAATTAATAAGACGGAAAAGCTTAATATCAAAGGAAGCAGAAAACATGATGTGAATATTTTACTGGAAAGTAATACATGTAACGCGTACAAGACTCCGGAGCGCAGCAGTGCAAAAGCATCTTTGAATGAAACCCTGATTTTTAGATAAACAGTTCTGTGTTAACGGAAGCAGACCCCTCCTCATGAAACATTCAGTGGATCTGTCTCTGCACTGAGTGGGAAAACAGTCAGCAAATAACCAGAGGTGGAGGTAAAGGAGGTGGTGAGAGGTGACGGGCAAAGAAACGTGATCTACAGCTGAATGTTTCATGAGTGGCACAGCCAAACGTCAGACTGACAACGACTGTGCCACCGCTGGATTTACTCTTCCCCATTAGGTTTCGTTTCCTCCCGTTAGTCTCTCACACTCTCTTTCACTTTTACTGCTCCTGTCTTCTGCTCAAGCCCCAGGGTTTGTTTTTTTTACACACCGCTGCAAAGAAACCTAGCTGAGCAGGTGGGCATTTTGTGTGCCACTGCCTTTCTCACTCATCCATGAGAAGTGACACCCAGGAGTCATCCATGACAAAGATACGGTCTGCTGATCAGCAATGGTCGGGCTGGTTTTAAGGTTTAAGGTTTCCATATAGAATAAGATTAGAATTAGGATTAGCATTAGAATTTATAATGCAGAATTTAACCACAATGTTTGGACAACTTCTAAAAAAATGCAAAAATGATTAAATTTCAATTCTACTTCCTTGGTTTACCTGCGCAGCAGCAGTTTGGGGTGGTTCTTGCTCTCCAGGTTGCGTTCTATGAGATCCGAGAGCAGGTGTTTGAGGATGTCGGTGGCGTACTCCAGTCGGCCCTGCAGAGCCGTCAGTATGAGCGAGGCGACATATCCCCGGTCACGCATGGAGAAA